TGTGCTTGTCAGGGAAGCACTTATTCCACTGAGCCATTGCCCCGGCCCACTCAAGGTGGTTTTTTTGTTTTTTTTTTTTTTTGGTGGAACCGGGGATTGAACTCAGATCCTTGCGTTTGCCAGTCAAGCGCTTATCCTACTGAGCCATCTCCCCAGCCATCAAGGTGGTTTTATATACTATTTATATTCCACATAAATTTTAAAATTGCTTTGTTAATTTCCATAACAAAACTTGCTTTTTTTTTTTTTGTGGCTGGCTCAGCATGGCCTGGGGGGCGGGACTGGCACAGCATGTGGGGCCGGGAATTGGACTGTGGTCCCTGTGCTTGACTCAGCTTGCCTAAATAGGCACTTTTGACTGCTGAGCTATCTTGCTGGCCCCTTGCTGGTATTTTTTGATTTTGATTGTATTGACTTCATAAATCATGTTGGGGACAATGAACATCTTAACATCATTAAATCGTTCAGTCCATAAATAGGGTACGTATATTTATTTAGGTGTTTGCTTTTTTAAAAAAAATCATTTATTTGTTTATTTGGTACAGGGTCTTGTTATGAAGCTCAGACTTGTAGTGATCCTCTTGTCTCAACCTCTCCAGTGCTGGGATTATAGGCAAGCACCATCACGCCATTTCAGGGTCAGCACAGGGCACCAGGGGTTGTTCCGGGACCAGCACAGCATGCGGTACCAGGGAACAAACCAGGGTCCTTGCACTTTCCAGGCAGGTTCTTAGACCACCAAGCTATCTCCCCAGCCCTTAGGTCTTTACTTTCCACTGGCAGCATTTTCTAGTTTTCAGAACACAAAAGGTTTGCATGTCTTTCAATTAACTTCTGAATATATTCTATCTCTTATGTCATTATGATATTTAAGATCCTTCAATTACTCAAGGCTTTGAATTTTTTTTTTTTCCCGGAACCAGGGATTGAACTCAGACCCTTGGCTTGCCAGGGAAGCACTTATTCTACTGAGCCATCTCCCCAACCCCTGAACTTTTTAAAGGGGCAAGATTTCTGTATGTTGCCCAAGCTGGTCCCAAACTCTTCCGCCTCAGAGCTGGGCTTATAGTTGCATATCACAACTGGCCTGCTCTGATCTCGGTATTCCAAACCTCCAAAGGGCTGCTCTCTGGATTCTGCCCTTTACCACTTCAATGTCAATGCTATATCTGGCTGTCATCATTTGGAACATTGCAATGTCCGGTTCCAGTGAGGAATGAGAGTTTGCGAGAAGCTGTGAAGGAGTGAGGTCTGCATCCTGGATGACTGAGCGTGGAGTCTCTGGTTCCCAATTCGATGGGCTTCCTCCGGATTGTACCATGTCTCAGATGCTATGGTAGTGCTTAGTGATGTAACTCATTGTCCCTGTTTCACAGGTAAGCCAGTAAGGCATACAAAGGGCAGGATTTCTGTGAAAACAAAGAGCAGGAGACCTCAAGCCCAGCTTTTGGGTCTTGTCAGAGAAGACCTGGAGCAGCAGGGCTGCTTCTCCGGAGCCCAAGAGGAGAGTCTGCCTGAGAAGCGCTGGGGAGTCCAGCCCAACCCTAGCGGGTGGATGGCTGGCCAGTGTCATGCATGGAACATGAATTCTCCCCAGCGTGCACATAAAACTCCAACAGCTGGCGTGCATGTGAGAGGCCTTTCCACAGATCCGATCAAGACCCCTGCTGACAGACGTGACACAAGCACTCTGGTCCTGCAGAAGGCAGCTGTGAGTTCTCCCAGGTACCCATTAGAAAAGCAAAAACAAACCCCTGAGATGATTGTGTCTAACCTCAGAGGAAAGTACCCTCTTGGCCCTGAAGCCCTGGGCTGTATTAAAAAAAAAAAAAAAAAGTGGATTGCTAGTGGTCTGTCTACTTTCCCTGCTTCTTGTACATGTTTTTCAAGATGCTGAGGGGTGGAAAAAGTTGATCTAAGCTGTCTAGCCGAGGCTGCCTCAATAAACCACAGTTTTTTGTCTCCCAAGAAAATCAGCGCTTTTTTTGTCTGCACTTCATCCTACTTAAGGTTTCAACGACTAGAAATTATTGAGGCCCAAAAGGAGTCTGGTGCAGCCATTTGCATGAGCTTACTCAGAATGCCTGGCATGAGTCTTCTCTTTTCTTCTTCCTTCCTTCCTTTTTCAGCATCTTTCTCCTTCTTTTGGTGAGTACCTTGGCACCCCTATTATCAAGGAGACAGTCCTTTACTTTGCCATTGGGTCCTCATGGCTGTCAGCCCCAGGGTTGGGCTCATGGTTGAGGCCACTGGTACAGAAGCCATGACCACAGGCAAGTGAGATTACCTAAGAGTTCAGCACCAAGTGACAGATAAGAGGATCTTCCCCCAACCCTTGGGTGCTCCACCTCTGAGTGGCCATATAGAAGGGAACGTGTCTGCAGAGAACAGAGCAGGAGCCACCCTAGAGGCAAGGTGAAGGCCAGGAGAGTCCTGAGCTGTCATGGAAGCCATGGAAGAAAGTACCATAAGGAGTAGGAAGCAACTAACAGTGTCAAACGCTATTCTGGAGCCAAGGAGATAGCTCAGTGGTGTAAGCACCTGCCTGGCAAGTGCAAGTTCCTGAGTTCAGTCTACAGTACCATAAAAAAAAAAAAAATAGATAGACCAAATACTATTCTGGAGTCATAAGAGATGAGACTGGAAAAGGTCCAAATGATCTTTGCTTGGGAGGTTATGGTGACCTTGGAGCTATTTCAGGGGAGAGTGAGGACAGAGACAGGGAGGGGCGGGAGAAAACAGACAACTCTTCAGCTGTGAAAGGCAGATGGGGTGTAGGATAGAAGAGGTGTGAGGGTCATATAATTTTTTTAAATGTATTTAGTACAGTGTTTGCAGGGTCTCACTACACAGATTGGACTCATAGTGATCCTCCTGTTTTCATCCTCCCAAGCACTGGGATAACAGGTGCGTGCCACCACACCCAGTCTTAGTCACTGTCTCAGTGTGCTCTGGGTGTGGGCCCAGTGCGGCACACCGCGGATTGAACCCCAGTGCCTGTGCCTGCCTGAGCAGGCGCTTTAGTCCACTGAACTATCTGGCTGGTCCATCAGGTAATTTTTCCTTAAAAAAAAAGCTGAAGGCTGATGGCGTAGCTCAGTAGTAGGGCGGCTACCCAGCACACGAGGCCCTGGGTTCCATCCCCAGCAGCACAAACACACACAAAGGCATGTATGAAACCAGAGTAACCATCTTGTTGAGAGGAGTAGTTGATTCTGAGGAGAGAGCAGATAATCAAACTGTAAAGTTCCCAGAGAACTGAACCCCCTCAAGTCCATCATTTTCCAACTCACTTGATGGACAGTTCCCCTTGGCGCAGAGTTTATTTCAGTCAGTGTTTTCCCAAAAGCACAGGGCCCAACTTACCTGAAAGGCCTAGGGCTAAACCAGTTAATATGGCCAAAGCCATGTTCTGGCTCCAGCCAGTCAGGATCCTTTCCTCTGGACTTGCGGGTGGGAGGGTAAACTCAATGTCTGAAAAATGAAGGTTTAAGTTGCAAAAAAAAAAAAGGGGGGGGGTGTATGCATACCTGGGCTACACCCCAGAAATGACTTTGAAGTCAGTTTAATGATAGGGAAGACAAGATGGCCACAGGGTATTTAGTCCTCCCTTCTGGCATATTTCAGGGTTCTCCCATAGCTCTAAAGCAACACTCAAACATCTAAAACCACTGTGCTAACCTGGGACGACCCCCCTCAATTAAGAAGCAGGCCCAGGCCTGTTCATTGGAGGTGCTTGAGGAGTTAAGCAAACCCCCCGGCCTGCTGGGATAATTGTGAATTTATTAACCAACAATTCCAGATACAGGGACTTCATTGACAAATAAAAGATAGAGACCATGCTGGCCAGCCTTGGGTAATGTCTGCTTTTGTGTGGCCTTTGCCAACAGAAGCCTGTCTGCCTACAGTGGAAGGCTGCTCTTCCGAGGCTCTCAAGTGATGTTAGTATAGGACTCGGGGCTTCCTTTCCACTTGCCTCAACGCAGAAAATACTTCTGGGCATCTGCTTCGTGTAAGTTGCTATGAGCTGGGAAGAAGTAGCATTGGCTTTTGCAGGCACCTATTTCAGTGTGGTCGTTCTGAAAACACTCCTGAGTAAGACAGACCAGAAGTGAGGCTAAATCCACCCAATTATATGTGTGACTTTATGTAAATTATTTTGTTTACACTTCCATTCCTCTTCTGTGAAACAGTAATAGTAAAACGATTGTTGGGGTGGGGAGACAGCTTGGTGGTCTAAGCACCTGCCTGGCAAGTACAAGGATCCTAGTTTGATCCCCAGTACTGTATGCCATGCCAGCCCCAGAAGCCCAGACACACTGGGCCAGCCTCCAAACCAGGCATGGTGGTACATGCCCGTAATCCTAGCACTAGGAAGGCTGAGACAGGATGATTACTATGAGTCTGAACTGTGTAATGAGAGTCTGTATCAAATAAATACATAAATAGTAGAAGGATTGTTGCAGGAATCCATGGAGTACCCGTCTTTTTGTTATCTGCATTTGTTCTGTGTATTCACACGCAAATCCTGTCACTCTGATGCTGTTATCTTCATTCATATACCTTCATGGAACATTTATGTTCTGCATCCAGAAAGTGCACAGCAAGTAATTAAAAGAGGATTCGGGAACGAGAAGGGGTCCCAGAACTAAGCGTTCAGAAAAAGAAGAGAAGCCAGGAATGGTGGCACACTCCTGCAATCTCAGCACTCAGAAGGCGGGGGCAGGAGGACTGCAGTGAGTTTGAGACAATCCTGCATTACACAGGGAGACCCTGTCTTAGAAGAAGAAGAAGGGGCTGGGGAGATGGCTCAGTGGAATAAAGTGCTTCCCTGTCAAGCACAAGGGTCTGAGTTCAATCCCTGGTTCTGGGGGAAAAAAAAAGATAAGAAAAGGACGGGGGCTGGTGAGATGGCTCAGTGGTCTAAAGCACCTACTTAAAAAACAAGTTTAGTAAAGCACAGGGACCGCGGTTCAATCCCCTAGCACCACAAGCCAGCCAGCCCCGCCCCTGGTGGGCTGAGCTGGCGCCACACACACACACACACACACACACACACACAAATTTTTTTAAAAAAACAAAAAAGAAGAGGAGCCATCCAATATGTTCAGAGGAAACACGAAGCCCAGGAGAGAATCATGTTTGGACAGCCAAGGCTGGTGCACAAGTGGGAGGTACAGTCGTCATAGCAGATCCCAGAGGCCAGGGGAAAACCGAAGCTCAAAGTGACCATGAGCTTCTACACTATGGAATTCCCAGACCAGCCTGAGAAGAGTAGTTTATGGGCAGGAACCCACAGGGTTCTGGTGGGTAGGGAAGCAGCAAAGTAGGGAAGGTGGCTAGGAAGAGATGAGGCATCAGGCAGTTTTGTGTTCCTGGGAAATGTTTTGAAGCAGATGGGAGTATTGAGGAGGAAACTGATGACTCAGGAAAGGAGGAACCGGCATGCAGGTGGAGGATCCAGTGCTTCAAGGAACACAAGCCTTCCCTGTAAAAGCAAGGAAGGCTGAGAATTCAGGGAAGGTACAGACATGTTGGGACTTGACAGGGCTTTTGTCAAGAATGAGGCCAGGTTATCTGCCTAAATCGAAGGATGAGCAGAGGATGGGAAGTCTGAGGAGGAAGAAGGTTGAAATATCCTTATTTTAGAATGTGGGAGTTGACTGGCTGAGCGTGGTGGTGCCCATCTGTAATCCCAGCAAATGAGTTTGAGAACTGCATAGCAAACCCCCAAAGACACACATACATGAAGAAGAGGAGGAGGAGGAGGAGTGCAAGAGGAGAAAGAGAAAGTGAGGAGGAAGAGGAGAGGACGACTGCAAGAGAAAGTGAGGAGGAAGAGAGGGGGGAGGAGGAGTGCAAGAGGAAAGTGAGTAGGAAGAGGAGAAAGAGCAGGAGGAGGAGGAGGAAGAGGAGGAGGAGAGAAAAAGAAGAGGAAGAAGGAGGAGAAGGAGGTGGTGGGAGTTGACTATAAAGAAATAGGAACTTAAGGCTGGGGAGATAGCTCAGTGATATAACCACCTGCCTGACAAGCGCAAGGTACTGAGTTTGATCTCCAGTACTGCAAAAGCAAAAGAAAAAAAAATAGGAACTCTGTGTGGTTGTCCATAACTGTAATCCCAGCACTCTGGGAGGATAAGGTGGAGACTCATGAGTTCAGCAAGAAAATGGAGAGAGAGAGAGAGAGAGAGAGAGAGAGAGAGAGAGAGAGAGAGAGAAATTAAGATTGCTAGGCAGGAATGAAGCCTTGTTTGAAATTTGTGGACATCAACTTTAAGTGACAGCAGTCACACTCAATTTTCCAGAAGCATTCAGATGTTTGATGAAGGTAGAAAGTAGGAGAGTAGCCGGGTTTTCTGCGGGCTGGGCAAGTTAGCCAAAAAGGGAGGGGACACAGGGCATGTGGGTGTTTGTGAAGAAGTATAACAATCATTTCTAAGTTGAGTACTTTATTAATGAGTCCTAAGTGAGCCTGAGAAGGAAGACATGAAAACCTGGCAAGGTCAAAGGTTCACAGGTCTGAAGTTGAAGAAATACTTGTGCGTTGACACTAGTAAGGAGGTTAAGATGTTTGCAGGGTACGTGTATGGAGGTCACTCATCAGCCCATGGGAGTGAGTAGATAGTGACAGAGCAATGAAACTCACTTATAGGGAAGAAATCAACAAAGTCACAAGTCAGTAAGATTTCTCATGGATTTTTTTTTCGCAGATCCGGGGATCAAACTCAGGCCCTCGCACTTGCCAGGGAAGTGCTTATTCCACTGAGCCATCTCCCCAGCCATGGATTGTTTATAGATGCTAAAGTCATAAAGGTGAGGGAGGTGAAGGTCAGTGTATGATAGCAAACAGGCATGGCAGGTTGAATGACAGTTGGTTCCTTTTTTTGTAAGAGAAGAGAAATTGTCCTACAAATATTTATGGTGCCTTTCTGTCCACAGTCCCTGCTAGGCACCTGCTCAAGGCAATAGTTGATGGATGTAGGGGTGGGATCTGATCTAAGGCAGCCAACCTGTGGACCGAACAATGACCTGGCCAAGGAACTGTTGTCAATAAAAGATGAACTGAGCTAATTAGATTTGGTCTTGGGAGTCTGAATTATGAAACACTAGAACAGGTCATTGGTTAATAGAAACTGCTGAAGAGAGTCAGAAGGGCAAAGGTCACCGGGATGGCCCCCCATATAAGTTCAAATATTGAGGAAATAAGGTTACAAGCAAGCCAAGGAAGCCAGACAGTAAAGAAAGCTGCAGAGGCAAAAAGGAAGCAGAAATGGAGGCCCTCTGACAGGTGGTGGTTCCTGAACTCTCTTATTACAACCTCTTTTAAAGGTTTCTTTTTATTTCCTCCCCCTCCTTCCCTTTCTTCCTCTTTTTCCTTCTGTAGTAGTGGGGCCTCAATCCCCACTGAGCTACATGCCCAACCTTTTTTAGCAAGGTCTTGCTAAATTACTCAGGCTGGGTTCAAACTTGTGATCCTTCTGCTTCAGATCCCCTCTGTTGAGATTACAGTCGTGCACCACCACTCTTGGCCTTTCAAAGATTTCTGAGCAGGGAAGCAATGTGATCAGTCCTTGGGTTATGACTGAAGGCTGTTCTCAGATTATGGAACATGTTACTCATTGGCCATGTGTTCTTGGGCAATTGACTTGCCCCATTTGTTTCTCAGACCTTTCATCTGTAAAATGGGAATGACAGTACTGTGGAGGATTCAATGAGAAATTACAGATAATGCACTTTGAAAAAGACTTCCTCTATTTCTTATCTTCTTAGCATCAGTGATTTCAGAAAGTTTTCCTTCATGACTACATCCTGTGACTTCCTGGAGGTAACCACCCTTTCTTGGTCCTCTTCTTTGCCCATGGGCCACTCCTTCTGGCTCCTGGCTTGTTCTTCTTAATCTTTTTTATCTCTTCTTTCCATATTCACCTCCCAGTGAACTCATCAAGATGACTTGTGCTTTTCTTTTTCTTTCTTTCTTTCTGGTGGTACCAGGGATTAAACTCAGGACCTTGTGCTTGCCAAGCAGGGGCTTATGCTGCTGAGCCATCTCCCTGGTCCCTGTCTTGTGCTTTTAAAATAGCTTTAAGTAGAATTTTCTAGCCCTGACTCCAGACTTCTACATCTAATTACTTCCCTCACATCTCCAGTAAAGTTTCCAAAAGGCACCTCAAACATAATTTGCCCCAAATGTGTTCTTAACTTTCTCTCTGCCCCAAACTCCCTGCTCCTGCTACAATCTTATCCAGTTCAATGAATAGCAAATCCTTCTGCTGGCAATCATGTGAAAAATCTTAACACCAACCTGAACTCCTTTCTAGTCCTTACCTCCTACCAGCAATACATCAGCAAACACCTAGAATACCATTGCTTCTTGGCCCTTCCAAAGCTATGGCTGTGGTCTAATCCACCTTCATGTCTCAGCTGCCAGATTCCTAATTTTTTTTTTTTTTTTGTATTTTAGGGAAGGGTCTACAGGGTGTTCAGGGTCTCACTACTAGATCAGACTGGTGATCCAACTGTTTATAGCCTCCCAAGAGCTGGGATTACAGGCACAGCACCACCACACCCTGGGGTGGGAGTGGGGGAGGCTGGCAGGGCAGGCCAGGGGATCAAACCCCTGGGCCCTGTACTTGCTTGCAGGCACTTTAATCCACTGAGCTATTTGGCCGGCCCTCAGGTTTCTAATGTTTTGGGGCCCATTAGAAGTGGTCAGTGTTGTTATTTATTTTTCAAATGCCCCATGTCAGAGCTGAACTCTCCGTCCTATTTATTTTCTGGTGGTACTAGGGCTCAAATCCAGGACCAAGGAAGCATCATATCAGTGCTTTTAAAATAAAAATGCCTAGACCTCAGAAACAGCATTCTTTAAAGAGAGAGAGAGAGAGAGAGAGAGAGAGAGAGAGAGAGAGAGAAGAAAGAGATAGCATTTCAAGGCTCTAGTCCCCAGTCCTTTTAGAGCCTAGGTCAGAGCTCATTACAGCTCTTTCTGTTCCTGAGCTGCTTACTTAACCTAGGCTGGCCACACTGGCTTCCTAGCTGTCCATGGACATAGCAGAGTCTGGTCCCTTTGAGGTCTTTGCCCTTGCTGTTCTGTGTGTCTCTCTGTTCTCCACGTGGCCCACTCCCCTCTTCCCTTCCACTGTCTGATGTAATGTTATTTCCTAAGTTAGGCTCTTCTTGACCATGCTTTAAAACACGACCACACTTGGCTAGCTTGCTTACTGCTCCCTCACTCTGATTTTTCTCACCAGCTCTGATCACCTGGAGACTATCTTTGCTTGGTAGCTGATTTTCTCCTGGTAAGTGTCCAAAATCCACACAGCACAGTTGGTATAGTACTTGCCTAGCATGCATGAGGCCGTGTTTAATCCACAGCACCCTCTTCTCACCACCACCACCCATTTTTGCGGTACTTACCTGTATCTTGTATATACATGTGGGCTTTTATTCAACTATGACCTCAGTGGCCTAGTAGTGGGGGTGGCTCATGGAGAGAATTGTCATTTAGGTTGCCGACACTTCATGAGTGACCTGATTTGATTCTAAACAGAGACAGACAGGATTTCTGACGCACTATGTGGAGCTGCAAAGCGTCTTTTAAGCAAAAGAGCTGATTTTCTGCAGCGAAGGTGAAAGTACGCACAACTACTAGTATTTATTGACCCCAATGTTCTACGCGCTTTACATGTGTCAACCTCATAACTATTTTAGTAGCGATCAGGACAGGGATCTTTACGTCACCTGTCATCTTTTGGAGCCTAAAACGAGGCCTGGTGTTCAATAAAAGGTGTGGGCCTGGCTCCTGAATCCCGCAGACCAGATGCAGCTCAGGTTCAGAGACGTGCTCCAAGTCCCTCCGTGTAACAGGCAGCAACTCTAGGGTTCCAAGTCAGGTTCCGCTCGCAGCGCGCGCTCTCTGGGCTGGGCTGGGCTTGGCTGGGCCGGCCCGCGGTAGGCACCAGTTCCGGGTCCCCGCCGGCGTCAGCGCTTGCACCGGGTGGGGCTGGGAGGGGACGGTGCCTCCCAGCCCCAGAGCCTTCCGCATCCCTGCCCCGCAGCCCTTGCGTCGAGGGCGCACAGTCCCTCTGCCAGCCCCGCTCTGCAGCTACGGGACCGAAGCTCGGTGTCAGACAGCACGTCGGTTCCCACGCCCGGGCAGTCCCGGGACCCCAGCCCCACACCCCGAGCTCCCGCAGCCGCTCCCGCCCCGCATCGCCCCGCCCCACGCCCCCGTCGGCGCTCCGCCCCGCGCGCCGCGCTCCATACTTGGCGATCGCCGCGGCCCCGCGCGCTCATTGGCCGGGAGCTGGCGGCGTGGGGGGCGGGCCGGGGCCGGCCGGGGCGGGGAAGGAAGGTGGCGGCGGCCCGGCGCGGGGGGAGGGGGGCGCTGACCCGGATGTTCACTCCTGGGCACCCGGGGAAGTGGAAGCGCCGGGCCCTGCTGCGGGGGGGACAGTCACAGACGCCGGGACTGGGACCGCCGCCGCCGCCACCATGGTAAAGGCCCTACGGCCCCGGCCCGGCGGCCCCGCCGGAGCTCGCGTCCCTCTCCCCGCGCAGACCCCAGGCCCGGGCAGGGTGGTTTCGCGGTGGGGGAGGGGCGGGGTCCGGGACCGTAGGTAGACACCGTCCCTCCCGCCCTGGCCCGGGCCGCGGCTGGCCGGGGTGGCCGGTGCCTGCCTCCTCTCCCGGCCCCCGCCCTTGGCTACGGCTGGAGCCCTACTGTCCTCTTCTTCCGTGTGCAGGCTGCTTTCCCCCGCAGCCCAGGCCAGGCACCCCCTCCGGTGACCCCGGTGTGGTCCCCTGCATCTGTCTGTGGCCAGGGAATGTCCCCTTCCCCTGTCCCCGCGGCCCAGGCTAGGCCGTCGTTTCTCCTGCCATGGCCCGGGCTAGGCCCCCCAGCCCCCAGACTCGTCCCTTCCCCGCCGCCTCAGCCTAGACTCCCGACACTTCAGTGGGAGCTTAGGTCTGTTTCTCCTCCACCGGTGAATCTTCTCTTCACTCCGTGGTCCTGCGTGTGGACCGCATCTCCTCCGCGGTGGCCCCTGCCTGTGCCTCCCTGCCCCCTTCCTCGCAGGAACCTGTTCCCCTGACTTCACTCTCAGCGTAGCCTGCGCCAGCCCCGCTCCGTCGTCCCTGTCCCAGCCCTCTCAGTGTCCCCTGCCCCCTGCCCCCTGCCCCCTGCCCCGTCCTCTACCCAGGTGCCTCTTCATCTGTACCTGGGGCGCGCCTTCTGGGCATCCCGTGGGAGGCGAGAGAGCGATCCAGTCCGACTGGGGGGTGGCCTAGTGCTGGGTGGAGGGTTACCAATTCTAGGAGAGGACGAAGAAGGAAAGGGCAGGCGTCTGAGTGCCCTGAAGGGTGCCCCAGGCCCTTCCCGCGGCGCCGCCCCGTACAATCTCAGGGCACGTCATTGGCATGCCCGGGTCTGAGCGGGACAGCGGGGTGAGCATGGGGGAGCAGACCAGTCAGAGGTGAGCGCACAATCGCGCTTGTGAAGCAGCAGGCCTGGTGTGGTGGAGGTGGGCACCAGGCTCAGAGCCCCACATACGGCCGGACACGATGCACCCAAGCAGGCGCAGCCTCCCTTTCCCCCTAAACTGTCAGCTGGTGAGGGTTGGAACTGCTGATTATGGAGGTGCGTCGGATCAGGTGAGAGAAACTCCAAGACTGAGCAAGCTCCACTCCGTGTTTGTTTTGGGAATGAAGGCAGGAGCCCGATTTTCACACAGGCCCTCACACTTGAGCCTGCCCTCCATCCCCTTTGGAGTCCTTCTCGGGGCAGACCGGTTGGAAGGGCCTGGGACTTCTGCTTCACTTGGTTTAGGAAGTCTAGATGAGTGGACTGTCGAGCCATCCACCTGGAGCCGTCCACCTGCTGCATCCCGGCCCGTGTGGGTCCCTGTATCCATGCAGCCATATGATTGCCCCGGATACGCCCCCCAAAGGTGTTTGAGAATTCTGGTTCCTTATATTGCTATTGAATTAAGGAGACTAATTCAGATTGGCTGGGTTTTTTGCTTGATGTCTTCCTTTATATGCATTGAAAACATGGGAGATGTCACTGTTGCGCTGTTGCAATTGACTGAAAACTCACAAAGATGGGCCTTGCCCGCAGCCTGCGTGGAGAAGGACTTCTTCAGCATAATTGTAGGGAAGACTGTAAAAGCGCAGTAAAGTTTTCCAGGTGTGCTCTCAGGGCAAGAGCAGGGGTGGATGGGTGGAGTGGCTTGGTGGGGCTGCTCCCTGCAGCGTATCAGGTAGGGAGGGGCTGTTCTCCAGACTTAATGGAAAGTGCTGCTGCTGACTCAAGAAGCACATAGGTCACATGAAGTGTCTTAGGAATCCTGTACATGGCTCTTCCTCGGACAGTCTGAAAAGACTGGGTGGGGTGGCGAAGGGTGTACTATCCACGGGACACTGCTTCGTCTGCTTGAGCTCATTTAACCCACACAGAATCTTCAGGGGTGTTTGCTGTCCCCATTTTACAGGCTTAGGAGGGGGTGTAACTTATTCGCAATCTTGCTCAATCAGTGAAAGAGCCATAGTTGATCCGTGGATGTACATCTGGCAGGTTAACCTGCCCATTGTTCGTGCTGCCTGTGTCAGGAGATATAACAGCAGTGCTTAGGAGAGATAATAACGGGCCATGCAGCCTTCCTGGGAGGGGAGCAACAGCACTTCTGCTCTACTGGTTGTGTGCTGGAATTTTGCGTAGAAAATCCTTCTCAGTAGTGCAACCTTATTAGAGGGATGCGGGCTCTTTTGAGGCAAGGGGATTTCTGTTTTTTCTGTGGCTGTTTCCCTGGCGCCTAAAACAGCATCTGACACTGAAAGAAATGACAGGAAGGGCCCAGTGCACTGTCGCACACCTCTGATCTCAGCTACTTAGGAGGCTGAAGCAGGAGGATTTGGAGTTTGAGGCCAGCCAAGGTAACATATCCGAACCCTTACCTCCAAAAGACTACAAACAGGTGAATGCTGTCTTTTGAGATGTGTCTATTCCTATGAAGTTAACTACTTGGATTTGGTATTTATTCTCTTGATAACTTGTTCTTGTTGTCTCCTAGGCTCATAAGTAGTTTCTGTTTATTGTCAAACTTTTTACTTGAATAATCTGATAAGCCAGTGTACATAAGTTCGGAAAAGTTGGGGCTGCATCATAGGCAGATTAATTTAGACCACCATGGTTTTTAATTTTCAGTAGGCCTGATGCTAGAGAAACAGCTACATCTTAGTATTCCATTGAAGGAGATAAGGGTTTGCTTTGACTTTGGAGGAATGCTGTGGGTTCTGTAGGTACTAGTTCCGCCTTTCCACTTAAGAATGCATAGGCAAATAGCATTTATTTGCATTACTTTATCAGCTAATAATCTTACCATCCCTCAGTGCTTTATAACTTTAGAACACTTTTCCTAACACAGCTCTGGCTTCTAATTTAGGAATAATTATTCTGAGAGTTAGAATTGTAGTGCTTGATGGTGGGGCTGTAGCAGGGAAGGAGCCAGGGAGGCCTCCTTAGGCAGCTCCCAGATGGTTTTGTCTAACAGGAGCTGATAGGAAAAGTCCCTCATGTTGCAAGGGAAAGCAGTAGAGTTGGTACTGAAGTGTCTTAGCCATCTCTTATTGAGGATAGGACACATAGTTTGACTCACTATATATATATATATATATATATATATATATCATATAATCCAGCTGACCTCTTTGGTGTACTGCTTGCAAAAAGTAGGCAATAATCAATACTTGGAAACTGAGGAGATGATAAGCCTTGCCGTTGAAAGCTGATCTTCCTATTTATAACTCAGTAGGAAGTCCTTTTCCTTTCCATTCCATGGAGGAGCGAAAATAACCCACTGTACACGGCACTGGTACCTGGCTCTTCACAATCCTCCCCCACCTAGCCAAGTACAGAGACATGCCAGCGAGTGACTGCAGTGATAGGATACCGTGACTTCAGTATGTGTGTGCCTTTTTTTTTTTTTTTTTTTTTTTGGCGGAACCAGGGATTTGAACTCAGACCCTTGCACTTGCCAGTCAAGCGCTTATTCTACTGAGCCATCTCCCCGGCCCCAGTCTGTGTGTGCTAAGTGCTTATTCTGAGGTGCTTATGTGGATACGGGGCAAGACAGACAAGGGTGTGTGCACTGACAATGTCCGTTGTTAGGGGGTGGGCCCATCACTCTGACCTACAGTTTAAGGGGGAAAAGCTTCATTGAGTATAACTGCAAGTGCATGAGCATGAGCTATGGCATGAGGCTGAAGAGAAAGTTGGGGCTGTGCTGGGCTCCACGCCCAGGCCTCTTGGGGTGTCTGCTCTCCCATCTGCCAGTGCAGTGCAAGTGAGTTCCAAATGTTTGCAATCTGTTCCTCCACACACCTGGTGCACTCTCCCACTGGGAGTGCAGCCTCCTGGTGCTGCGGGAGTCCAGCCCTTCATCCTGGGTCCCTGCCACTGAGGGGCGAGGGCCCCTGTGATCCAGAAACAGGACTTAGGTTTCTGCTCAGCCCCTGTGGTACTTAACAGGGAGCCCAAAGCTGAGGTCCAGTGACAGCGTGACTCTTCTGTGGGACCCACTTGATCAGAAACTGAGCGGCAGGGCCTGTAAGCGCAGGATCTTGTCCCATTTCTCCTTGCCGCAGATTCTTCCAGTGAGGATAGGGTGGGAAGCCAGATAATGCCATTGCAAAGTCACCCTTCTTGGGACCAGAGCAGTGCCATTCCCAGAGCTTGGCTTGTGTAGGTTAATATTTCAGTGTTAGGAGATGGGAGACTTAACTTTTTGGGGGGAGGGGAGCCTTCTGCATGGTAAAGGAGTGCTCTTCCACTGGACTCCGTGCTTAGCCATTTTTATTTTCATTTGACAGTCTAGCTGAGTTGCCTAGGCTGGCCTCATATTTGTAGTCCTGCTTCAGCCTCCCAAACAACTGGGATTATAGGTGTGTGCCCCTGCACCTACTTGAGAGTTAACATTTATGGGTGACTAGCCCTGTACCACACAGTCTGCTAGAAGCTTTAGCTCATTGAGTTGCCCTTGCTGTAGAACCCATTGAGCAAGGTGCTGGCTTAGGCAGGCGGCAGCATAGTATATCGGTGGTGAATCTTTGAGAGACCAAGTGCCCAGACTGCAACCCAAAAGTCATTTATTTATCACAAAGTGCCAACATTGCAATTAAACCTGAATACTACAGAGGTTTTAGTTTAGTAAAAGCCATGCATGTGCCTGGTTCACGTGCAACAGAGAGGGCTCAGTGTTTCCACTCTGGTACCCGTACCATGGGTTCATAGGTTCATCACCATTGGTAGAAGTCAGAAGTGTACTGCCTGAGAAGAACCATAGTACCTCCCATAAGAAGAGTAAAATGAGATAGTATATGAAATAATGTTTGTTTGGTGCTTCAAATGTTATCTAGCACATAACTGTATAAACATTAGCCATTACTATCACTGTTTTATAGATGAGGTATGAAGAGGTACGTTTAGTTCCTGTGAAGCTGCTAGAGGAATTGTGTTTCCTGATTCCAGAGTCAGACCCTTTTTCCCTGCTTGTAATTGCCTGCTGATGGATGCTTTAAAGCTCTCTCTGAGCCAGGCTCTTGTCATTCTGGTTGCCTTGTCTGTGCTGCTGGACCCTGTTTCGAGTGTGCGTGTGTGGCGGAGGGGGGGGAGGTGGTCCTTGTGCTCTTCCTGGTTGGGAAGAAAGGACAGGACTGGGGATAGCACACGAGCTCTACCAGAACATGGGCCTCGTGCGCTGCATCTTGTGCTGGCCCCTCTGGTACCCAGCGAGTACTTTAGAAATAGTAGGTGAAGGAGTGGTGGGAGCTGGGGGCAGCTGTGTAGTGAGGCACGGCCGGCTTGGATCCTGTCTGATGCTCAGTATGTGGCCTAAGTGAGGATCCTGTCTACCTTACCCTCAGCCCTTGATCTGCAGGGTAAGGAGAACATTTTATAGGGGTCCTAGGAAAAATAAATGAAGTTTTTAATGTACTTACTCTGGAGCCTGGCACACACTGGCTGGTAGCTGTGGTCATTATTTGCCTTATTCTGTATATTGCAGGATAAGAGTCTAATGCAGTGTCCAACAGGAAAATAGGCAAGATGCATCTAAAACTTCTAAGTGCAGTAGGAAATAGTAGTGCTGGAAAAGACTTTCTTTTTGTTGCTGTTTTTTTGATAGAAGGTCTCACTGTGTGTCTAATCCAGGTTGGCCTGGAATTTACCATGTAGCCTCAAACTCGCAGTGCCTCAGTCTCCCAAGTGCTAGGATTACAGGTGTGCACCACCACACCCAGCTGGGAAGAGACTCAGGAAGGACCACATGTGTCCAGGTGTGGTTAGTGTTCCATTTCCTGTAGCAAGTCCTGCACATACTCCAGGCCACAGCCAGCTTGGGAAGACTTTGCCCAGGCAAAGAAGGCAGGGTGGGGCACCAGCTCCACCAAAGCTAAGGTCGGGGATGTGAGCGGCATGTGAGTGTGAGAACCAAGGAATGGATGAGAGGGTGAGCTGCAGGACACCTCAGTTGCTAAGCTAAGGAGTTTGCATTTGATCTGGGACAGTGCGGAGCCAGTGACATTTTTGACAGGGCAGGTAGAAATTTGAGGAGGCTGGCAGAATGGAGGTATTTTAGAAAGAGTCCTTTGGCTGT